TTTGATTCGTTTTATTGAGATTTACTCTCTTTTTATCTCTCTTTCCTCTCTCCAATTATGCAGCAATTTCACAATTATTTTTAAATGCGCAGCAAGTTATGAATGTCGTATGTTTTCGCGATATGTATCCCTTATGTTATTTTATTAATTTTTTATTTTAAAATAATTAAAAAAAAAAAAACATGCTAATAAGCAAGAACATCCCTTGTTTTCTTTGCCAAAGCCATATATCAATCACACACACACTACGGAATTGCTTGTCTTTCACTGTTCAAGGCGGCCTCTTCTAGGTGGCTCCAAATTGTTCATGTCCCTCGTATTGTTTCCATCCATCTTAGCCAGATTCTTTACTCAAAGATAACTCAACTTTATTTCATAAAAATCCATGTTTTATCTAGATGTTGATGCATCACTTGTTTTATTTGGACATTAATCTTTGATTGACTAAAGGTGTTTAAATTGTGACAAAACCATTGTAAATTGTATCATTGTGTCTTGATTCTTTTCCTGTCGTAGTCATGGTGTAGTTGAGAGAGCCCTTTGACCTAAAAACTAGGATCGGTGCAAAGAGATTCCACACCTATAATCTCAAACGCTTACAGCCATGCATGCTGTCAAGAACTCGTCGTGTCAGGTCATGCCAATGTTTAGATTGACGAAGGTTGATTCAATTTTTTGTTGTGTACTCATGAATTATCGATAGATAAGACCTGAACCATGCTAATTTCATCAATTTACCGTCATTGAGCTTGACAATACCTCCTCCTCTTCTTATAAATCTCCTTGTGAAGTCATTGCGACATCTTTTCATTGTAAGTGAATTATTTTTGAAAAACTGTAGGAGGAGTATAAATACTTCGATTCTTTCAACTATCTTAAGCATGGTTATAAAATTTCCATGATAATACAAAACCTGACTTGACTTCAATCGAGTTTCTTTGAACTAAATAAAGTGATATCATTTCATAAAAAAACAAATAATATTGGTTTTTGGTCACAAAAAAAAATTGAATTAATCTATCTACTTATAAGATGACTCGGCCGACTCGAAACCCAAGTCTTGAGCCGAGTCATGATGTCAAGATGATGAATGGTGAGAGTGTCCCTCAAGCCTTTGGATGCATCCATAACCATGCTTGATGATTTTATGTGATGCAGCACACATGATCTCTGTAGACTAAGATTGGACTGACGGGCCGGCAAATGATACCAAGAAACAAGCTATTGTTGCTTGTTGCTTGTTGGTGTTCGCCTCTCTTACATTGACTTCACAGTTCAACTTCCTGTGCCCTCTTTATTCCTTTGGAGATCAAAGGGCCCCTTAGTGAATCATTGATCCTGAAAAGTGACCTCTCTCTCTCTCTCTCTCTCTCTCTCTCTCTCTGGCATTATTTTTGCCAACCACAATTTAAGATGGCCCAGATGCATTCTATAGTCGTTGATATTCGTCGCCTCCTAGCTCCCTCTCTCTCTTGGTGCTTTGACATTACTGACCTGAGAAAGGCACATTTTAAAGCAGGTGGCCATCCCATTGAGGAAGGGAAACTCAAAGCTCAAAAGGAAATTATGGCCCCATAAATCTTTATGGTTCATCAAGTTTATGGGTCCACGGTTGATGAATTGTGTTTTCTATCTCCATCATCATCATTTTAATAATGTTATGAACTGATTACCACATAGTTTTCACATATTTTTTCAGAGTCAGAATTATTTTGCGGTGGCATGTGTCTCTCGTGATTGACTTAATTAACTAGATATCTAAAATGCGTGGTAATTTTACTGTATGTATAAAACACTATGGACGTGTATTTCTTGTAATTTCATTTAGTTCCTTCATGTTTTATTTTATGCAATTTGATCCTAATTGAAGATCAATTACTCCTGATTTCTTAGTCATTGATGAGATTAAAAGAAAAGGGACTATAATAAAAAAGACAACAACCATGGGTTGTGTGTTAAAAGTTTCGGGAAAAATACACCTTCATCCTTTAACTTTAAAAAATTGCATAAATTTTTAAATTTTGGTTCCTCAATTTTTTTCTAATTCTATTTTGATATGAAAGTTTTTTTTTATTTTTATACAAAAGTCCCTAGTTAAGAGAAGAAAGAGAGAAGTCACTGGATATCAACTATAAAGAGAAAGAAACGTTGTAGATATTGATTTAAGCCATCAAAATAATCAATATTTTTGTTAAATTATTCAATTTGATGATGGAATTTCATATTAAATGTTTTATTACCTTAAAAGTTTGTGAAAACAACATCTGAACTCAGGTAGATTTTTTATTTCAAGTTTATTTTAGTCTTGTGGTGGATTTTTTTTTTTTTTAGATTATAGATGGATTTGTCACAATTCTTAAATTGTTTTGAGTCAAAAACGGGTTGAAAACAAGATTTTGAGTAAAAAAACTTTAAGCATTGATTTTCTGGCCACCATAATGATTAAAATCTAGGTGAATCAAACAATGCTTCATCTATATTAAAAAAAAAATATTAAAACAAACAACATATTATCCACGCTAAATACAAAAAAAATAAAAATAAAAGCTTAGTAGCAAGGACTGTCTTGGCATTCCAGGCCCAACAACTCCTGGCCTTTGATTTTTAATTTTTTTAATTAATATTTTTTTTTTACTATTTGTTTATAAGTAGATTAATACTCATTCTCTCTCTCATTTTATTTAAAGAGCTTCTTTTAGATAAAAAAAATATTTTTTTAGTTATGCATTTAAATTTTGAAGAGTTTTTCTAATTCATCTTTAATTTTTTTTCTTTTGTATAGATGAACCTTGTTTTTAAAAATAAAAAAAAAATATTGTTAGATAATATTTCTAATATGTTAAACCTTGAATTGTATTTTGCTTCTTTTATTTTATTCAATTAATTTAATTTATATCTATATTTTTATTATCATTTGATTGAATAAAAAAATTATAATAATAAATGTTTTCCCCCAACTTATATGACGGGTCTCAATCTGGCTTGGCTCTTGATGATTGTTGAATCAATATTAATTTCATGCTTGAGTTGGAGGCCCCTCACTCTATGCATTGAGTTAAGTAATTTATTAGTGAAATAGTAAATATAATCGGGTAAATTTTTTATAAAAGCTAAAAAACAAATAAGAAATATTAGAGTATGTTACGATTCTAGATATTAAAATTGTTTTATATAGCATAATAATTACTATAAAATTAAAAAAAAATATTTTTTTATTTTAAAATCACATTAGATTCATCAAAATATTATTAGAAGCAAGAAATTTTAAACTAATATCAAAAGGTATTTTTTATTTTCACAATAGCTTTTTTTTATTATCATATCAATTAAGAAGTAATTTCTTATATATATATATATAAGAAAATAAAAAAACACAGAAATAATAAAAATGCGCGGCATTAAAATAAAATTTCTTTAGAAAAATTTCTTGATGATAGTTTTTATCGTAAAACTAGTGAAAATTAATCTTACATGTGGCGATGAAGAAATTATAAATTAAGAGTTGAAATCAGATAAATGTCTAAATATGTCGGCCAGAACAACCTATAATTCAGAAAGTCAAGACGAATTAATCTTGAGATGTGAGCTTGACGATACACGGTTCTGTTTGGTTGCTTTCGGCTAAGGTCTCATCACACTCATGGCTACAGGATAGTGTATGATGAACAATCAAACATGAAACAAGAAAGTTTGCATGGTTCCAAAATTTCAAGGTACAATCATCAACCTAATTCTTTGTTTTGCATTTCGTACCGTTTTAGGTGCAATGATTTTGTTAAACGATGCATTTTTTAATGAATATTTCTCCATAAAAATAATTAAATTGATATTTTTATTATTATTTTAATGAGATTATAATTAAATTTTAAATTATTTAAACGTATAATTAATCTCAAATAAAATTGTTAGCTAATTATAATTGTATTTAATAGTCTTTAATGATATACTTAAAATGATGTTTTAATAATATTAAGAGTGTGAAAAACAAAGTCTCAGTGTATTCTTGGTATTTTTTTTTTACTTCTTTTTTTTTCTCTTATGTTATATCTCCTTTTATTTTTTGACTATTAGATTTTATTTTTTATTATTAAATCTTGAAACTTGTATCTTCATAATTAGATTTTCATAAATTTTAATATATTCTCTTATGTTATATCACCTTATTTATCCTTTTATTTTTAGACCATTAGATTTTATTTTTTATTATTAAATCTTGAAACTTATATCTTCATAGTTAGATTTTCATGAATTTTAATATTGATTTTTATATATATTAATTAATTTAAATATACCATGCACATTTATGATTTTTATGTTGCTATATTGTTTTCCAAGTACTTTTTTAATATATTATTTTTTCAAAACTTTTATCAAATAGTGTGATTTTTTTTTTTAAAAAAATCCTTTTTGGCTTGAAACACAATTTTCACCACTTCCACGACCGGCCCAGTCATGGCTTTCCATCGTTGCTTGTGTTCCTTTTCTGTTCTTTGCTATTCTATAATTTCTTATTACATAAGACGTTTTCGTCTAGTTCCGTTTGTTTCTGAGAATGAAACTTCAGACTAGTTGTCTGCCTAAACGCTCCCTGTAACCCCACCTTCTGTCCCTTTCTATAAATCAAATCACACCCATGGTTTTGCCCTTCTTCTAAAACCATGGTGATGGCAGTATTCTCACTTCCTGGCCACGCAGATATAATCCTCACAGGCCACTAAAAGACAGCCCTAAAGTTGAATTCGACCTCTCATCTTCCCCAAGGAAGAGGGTCCGCAATGCCAACCTTTTCTTTTGTGTCTCTCCAAACTATGATGCATGGCTCTCTCGTACCATTTCTTGCACAACCTTATCTTTTCTTCATCCACCATCAGCCATAATTTTCATGTCCATGGCCCCAATGGAAATGTACCCTGTTGTTGGATAGTTAGACCCATTTGAATTACATGGGGTATGGCGGCAACTTGACGCATTATCACCCATTTTGCTCAGTGAGGCCATTGTTACAACAGAAACAAAGAAAATACAAATCATATTTATCTTTCACACTATCTTACAACCTGAAAGAGGACTACATGAACAAAATATCAAACATGGAGTACATGCTGATGCGACTTTGAATCCATTCTTCTCCCATTCCTTTTTTACAATAGTACCCCCCCAAGCCCTCCGCTTTCCTCCATGCCCATAAACCCTTGTTAACATTACTGGTGGTGATGGTGCAGACACTCCAGAGGAGTGGCTGGGAACCTGGCAGTGTCACTGCAGTAGTCATATATCATGTGGTTAGCCCTAACCCACAGAAGCTGATGGCTCTGGTGCACATTGAGCGCAGACAATGTTGGCTCATCCCACCAATACCTCTTCTCACCACTACTGCTACATTTCTTAGAGTTATCATCTGCTGCTATTGATGCTGGACACTCACATGCATTGATTTCAAATCCTTTGTAGGAGGCAACAAAGGGTGCGTGGCTCCAATCAGTCTTGACACGGCCACCTTGTGTAGCCCAATCGTCTGCGTTCCATATTGAGCTGTATACGCCCATAGCTTGGTCCCTTGGAAAGGGAATCCCTTTGTTTTCCATATTGGTGTGCAATCTAATTGGGGTATCATCCACTAGAAACCTGAGCACAAAGAAACATGTAGAACAACACATCTTAGAGCTTATACTATATGTAGTAGTAGCATATCATCCATCAAATGCTAGATTAACCTAGTATATCAAATTTCTTTCCAATTAAGTAATCTTATCCACTTTCCCCAAATTTGTCGCATGCCTTTCCAAATCTCCAAAACCATAGTGAATTATTTAAAGCAACCAAACATAGATTTAGTTGCAATAAAGCCAAGAAGAGCACTATCAGAAAACACACAATACAGGAGCTAACAATCAAATGACAGAATAGCAGGCATCATCATACAGCTAGGTAGGTAGAAGAATCCAACAAGCACCAATTGTATTTTACGTACGGAAACAACTATACGCCAAGAACCATTTAAACACCGTAATGCAAATCTGTCTGTAACCTTGTTAATCGTATGGGACCCCATTTGCCCCTTTGGCATATATATTCCAAGATCAGGTCCCCCTTTTTTTTGGGTTTGGTTTTAATTTGTAATTTTGTTCTATAAAGAGACCAGTGACATACACTACTCACACATGACTTTCATGCACCACGAGCATGACCTAAGAGTAAGACATACAGAACTGAACAGCACTGAAATATACCTTTTCCAGTTTCATGGCAACAGGCTTTGCCTCGCATGCATGTGAAATTACAAAGCAACCCACCCGAGTTCATGCACAGATCCCCATGTCTATGTCATGCATGCATAATGCACATATTGATATTAGCAAGTTATGCGTGTGTGTGTGTGTGTAGCGAACATGAATCTAATATACAATATTTGCACACGAGTAGAGAGAAGCATCTTTTTGTGAGAAAGTGACGGGGCTTACACAACATGCCGCTGGTTCCAAAAGATGGAGTAAGAGTGGAAATCCTTGGTAGGGTCAAACCAAAGGCTCAATCTTTGTTCTCTATTACCCACACCATTAACATACACATTGGTTTGAACCAAGTAAGGTTCACCTGTGGTGTTGCCAAGGAACTCAAAATCAAACTCATTGTGATTTGTACCTTCGGATGACATCTGTTTCATCAAAAGATCAAAACTTTAGACAAAACCCATAAATAAAATGTCACTATCAACATAAGCATAATTAAATAAAGAGATGCACACACTAAAAACATTAATGGTTTTGACTTTACTGACGTGATAATAAATAATTGTTGTGTGGGGACTAAGCTAATGAATGCAAGATAAATGTGGACTTACGAGAAATTAGGAGACATAAAACTAGTGGGTAAATACTAGCACTAGTGATTCAATACTAGCCTACTCATCAAAGCTAATGAATTCAAGATTAAAAAGTGCCTGCAACCCAGTACATTTTTCTTGAATGGAGACAAACAACGGTCTGGATCCTGGGATAATCCGGCTAAGCAACAATCAATTCTATTTCAAGTGACTGAGATGAAGGATAGAAACTTCTTTTTTTTTTTAGCTTTGATTGAATTGAATATACTTACATAGAAAGCAGTAACAGTCCCGGCAGAGTCACCCTCTACAAGCTTAATTTGGACTGTGACTTTCCCAAACATATACTTGCTTTTAGATTGAAATCCAGCGCCTGGTGAAAAAAAAAATTCCATTAGTCTATCAATACCAACAAGACTAAAGCTCAGAGAAACCAAACACAAGAACACACATCTGTCGCTAAAATGTATTCGCTAGACACATGAAAAGACTGCAAGAAAGCTGCTGTTTACAAACAGAAGCAGTGGAACATTTAAAGCCAGAAGCATTCTCTTTATACAGAAACGGGCTATAGAAGCACAAAAACTTAGCCAGCAATGAAGCTAGCTGTATTGGTTCAAAGTTTCAGTATTTGCGGGGAAAACGAAGCTTATTTACCAGAATAACTATCAAGTTTGAGCCTAAGAAGCTCTCCTTCATAAGCCAAGTGATCTTGAGCCCAACTTGGTTGAAAGAGCTCATCAAACTTGGCTGAATTAACCAAACCCACCATTAAAGAGAAACCAACCAAGAAACCCAACATTTTAAATGCTGAAACAGCCATTGAAATGAGAGAAAGAAGTCGAGAGAGAGTGTGAAGAGTGAAGCTCTCTATCTACTCTGTAATGCTATAAAAGCAAAACAGAGAGCCTTTTTATAGCCCCCAAACTCCGCTCTATTGGCTTCCTCTATAAGACCCCGTTTAAATGATTTTTTAAAATTAACGATTTAATTTTACTGTACCATTAGCCACTTCAGCAAATGTTATACCACGTCAGCAACTTTTATGCATCGACTCCCGCTCAATTCAGCATTAAAACACTATTTGGGACAGTTTCTTTACTTAATTAAATTTAATTATACTATCTAAATTTAATTTAATTAATCAATAAATTTAATTTAAAATTTTTAAAATACATAATTAAATCCATTTTATTTTATATATTACCCCATTATTTTCATTTTATTTGTTTAAATATTTTTTTAAAAAGTAGGTAAATAAATATTTTAAAAGGATTAGTTTTAACATTAATTTTTTCTTTTTATTAAAGTAAATCAGATGGATTAAATTTTATTTTTTGTATTATTTTTAAAATTTTAATTCAATTTGAAATTCAATTGTTGATTCTTCAAACCGTTATAAATATAAAATTGTTGAATAAAATTTAATTTAAAAGACTTTATACAATCTTAAAACTTTATTCAGACGATATTTTAGTTTAATAGGTCAATGTTAGGCGGTGTTTAATAATATCAAGGTTTGTGAATTAATAAATAATAATAATAAATAAATAAATAAATTTTTTTATGTTGTCTATTATTGAATGGGGTAAAATTCGGGGTTTTTGTTTTTTTATGTTTTCCCGGGACGGGAAGCTTGCACCCCACGCCATGTCATTTGCCACGTCGGAAGAAAAAAGTGACAAAAATTTCCAAGAAATCTGAAAAATAAAAAATGTAGCCGTTACTGTGTTGCTTTGCTTAGCTGGGTAAAGCTGGTCACGCAAGGATCAGTATCAGGTATAAGCCAATAAGCACATGACACGTGGTGCAATACAGCTGTTTCACTGTCCTGTCCAGTTGTCACTGCCACAATTGAGTTTTAAAAAAAAAGTTTCCCTCTTTTACTCTCATTGCATTTGATGTCTCTCTTGCAGACAAGAACTGAGAACACTCTCATGGTTGTGTTACTAACCCCACTCGCTCTGTTGGAGTGACACGTCATAACTATATTTGATTTTAAAACTTAGCATTTTGTAGTTTGAAAATTGTTTTTCTGTAATCTTACTTGTTTAATATATATATATATATATAGGCACACACTTTTGGCTTGCAGAGGAGAGTGGAGTGAAGTTGACAAGGTGGGGAGGTGAGGGGGGTGAGTCACTTTACCTTCTTTGTTTTTTGTGTTTACTTTGATGATGACATAGCCAGCTGGGGCACTATGCAAAGCCACATCTTGTTTTAATTAAAGTTTGTGGTGGGAATTTAATTCCAAAGGAAAATACTAATAGTTATTATTATTTTTTTAATTCCATGAAATTATGGAGAATTTCTTTTATGCTATAGTTGTACCACTATATGTTCATATTATGAGATGGGCAAGTGAGGGTCCAGGATTTAAGGGGGGTAAAATAATGCAATGATCAACTCCCTTATCGTCGTGTCTTTAATATATATATATATATAATATTGTTTTGTCACTGTAAATCAAAGATTAAGATGGAGAAATTCCGTGTAATGGTACTTGCCATCATTATTTGGAAGCTTCATGGTATGGAATAAGGTTCAACGTGGAGTATAATATTGTAGTTTATTTCCACTCCATTCCTTTATTCCACTAAAAAGCATGATGGATTTGGCTTTAGTTTCAATGATTATGGAGCAATAATTCTCCATTGCCTTCCTTTCTACATTTCTTAATTTCTTATCGAATCAAGTTATTATTTAATTCACATTCTTAATCACTTTAATGTCATGCATAATTCTCTTGTTTTTAATCTATTTTTTTCTTTATTTTAAATGAATTTTTTAATGTGTTGACAATGTTATTTTTGAAAATATTATTTTTAAATGAAAAAAGAAAGTATTTTTAACGGGCAGCTTTGATTCCAAAATGGTTAAAGAAAATGACAGGGAGGCCATCACAGAACTGCTGTCACCTTTACCGTGCATGAAGAAAGAAAGCTTCACACATATCCAGAAATTCATGTCCACTTCACTCTGCTGTGTTAGCAGAATCTCTGACAATCCAATGAAACTTCCCCAGGTGGCAAGAGATATTTCTTTGCCTTAGAAATATCTAAGAGGAGTACACCCGACTGCGTATGCAGTTTAATTTATTTTCGTGGGTGAAAACTTCCCAGCCAGCCAGCCAGCCAGTCTTTATTGCATCCAGCTGGCATTTTTTGGTGCTTGATTGCCATTGGTTCCTGTATAAATTACGAGATTGTTTTCTCACACGAGATGGGGATTTTCCCATGTGGATAAGGTGTTTACAAGTGCGTAACAGTATTTTTTAAAAATATATTAAAATAATATTTTTATCTTAAAAAATTTATTTTCAAAAACAACACATCAAAATAATTTAAAATTATAAAAAATAAATTTACGTTTTTTAAAAACATTTTTAATTTGTTATTATAGTGAAGTTTGTAATTAGAGTTTCAAAAATGAAAATGAAAATTACAATTTCTTTAGAAAAGAAATTATAACTTCTGCCATGGATATATATTAATTAGTGAAAACATTTAAAATTATAATTAAAATAAATAGTATTATTAATCACACCACATCACATCTTTGAATGAACTATATATTTTAATGTGATGTTATTCTACCGCATGATTTTTATAAAAAAATATTTTTTAAAATTTTTATAATAGTATATTAACATTACATAAAAAATAAAAATTTAATTTTATATATTAAAAAATATATATTTTTAAAACACATAAAAAAAACCCAGCGAGAGCTCGTATATATCCATGAACTAGGGGCACGGACTATTAATTGGTGTCCTAAAAATAATAATTAGTAGTGGTTGTAATCATGGACCGCTTTAATCCAGCTAGTGGATCAGCTTCACACCACTAATTGCAGTGACAGCTCAGTACGTTAAGTATAATATTAGGGATGGGTTGTTCTTGTGATTTCCAGCTATGCTCCTCTCCCAATCACCAGCATTGGTTAATGATAAGATTTTAAGAATTTGAGATCCACAGCATGTACTAGGTTAAATTTTTAATTGGATTAAACAAGTTATTGGTCAATAAAACTTTACTAATTTAATTAGAATTTTAGTGATTCAATTGAGTTAATCAGTCTCGGTTCTTGGTCAGTGACATGGTTTTTTTTCAAGTAAAATGATCTCATTTTAATAAAAATAATTTATTTAAGTTAATATAAAAATTTACAGAATAACTTAATAATTCAATAATCTGTGTTATTTTCCAAGCACGTGATGGAATCTCAAATCAAATGCCATAAAACCAGATTAATTTAAATAATTCATGATGTTATGTTGTCTTAATAACAAGGTCTTGCCATTGATGCTGGGAGTTAAACCAAATTTCTCTCACCTGTTGATTAAGCACAATTTTTTTTTCCCAAGCTGAGATTTAATATTGCTTTTGATTTAATGGTTTTGATTTAAAATACATCAAATTATTTTTTTTATATTCTTTAATAGTTTTGATGTTAAAAATAATAAAATTTTAAAAATATATTTAAAAAATATAAAAGCACAAGAAAATATAGTTTGATTTTAAATTTAAAAAATATTTTTTATTTTTAAAAAATTATTTTTTACATTAATATATTAAAATGATATGAAAAAATTAAAATAAAACTTTTTAAATTCTTTCTAAAATACTTTCAAAAACACAGTAACAAACAGCGTCTTCCTCCATATTCAATGAATCTGACATACTGGTTGGGCATTGAATTTTTATTTTCTACTCTGAGTTCACGCTGAGGACTTGTTCTCTTTTCACCGGAAAAAGTGAGCACGGATTTTAATTCAAGCATCGACCAACTATTCTGGCGGCCGTTGCTCAATATCCACTCCACCAAATCTCGTGATCAGCCAAATTAATCATTAATCATAAACTTGACTAATAAATATGTTTGTTCATTGTATCATTGTTTGAGATTCAAATTTCAGTACAGATATAATAAAGATAAAAAAATATTTTAAAAAACAGAAAAATAAAAAATAAAAAATGACTTACAAATACAAGATAAACATTTAATTTAAATATTTTTTTATTTGTTATTGTTATCTTGTTATTTTTATATTATATTATTAAAATAGCTGGAGAATATATTAAAATATTATTATTTTTAAAATTATTTTGAATATTAGGTATAAAAACAATCCAATAAACTAAAATAAAATTAATTTAAAGTAAAATAATAAATAAATTTAAATCTTTTTCAAAACTCTTTTAAAATAAAAAACAAACAGAACTTAATCTTATTATTAAATCTCCATTAATGTTTTAGAAAACACAATCATCTCATAATTTATTTATTTTCTGTCTGGGTATCCGGCGTGCCATCAAAATCTAGTACGAATAACTAAAGATTTCGTGGGAATCCAAGGAGATGATGACCTGAGAAAGCCAAATGCATCGATTACAGTGATTAAAAAAAAAGGGCCATAATAGAATAGTAATTATAGTGTAGAGGGCTGCATAGGGTTCTTGCAGTCATGGGCAAAAGCCAGCTAATACCAAGAGAAATTAAGCAAATCCCGAAAAATTAATAATTAATGATACCACTCTTGATTAGGCCTAGCTATTGTCACGTGTCAGAATCTTACACAGGCAAGACTGTAGATGCACGGACAGCATGCAGTGGACTGCACGCATGTTGACGTATACATGTCTTATCCAACATGGCCTTCGATCTTCTCTCTCTCCCTCGACTCTCAAAGCCTGGGACTTGTTTTGTCTGTAAATAAAAAATCCCTTTGGTGAGTTTAATCCGCTACATATCATTACAGAATTGCTACGGTGCTGCTATCTTCCAATGCAGTTTAATTATAATATTAAGTTTGAATTCAATTGTATTTATATATTTAAAATGTATAAAAATTTAATTAAATTAATTTTCTTCGGTTTCTAACTATC